AAGTCACGCCTTTCCTTGAACATTAGTAAATGTTTTCAACTAACGTATTCTAAAATTTCCAATTCTCTGCTTACCAGCTATCATATATCGGCTAATGATCTAAATCGTGCAGATGAGATAAAAGATCTTGGCGTAGTGTTAGATGATCGATTTTCTTTCAATAAACACATTAGCTATGTAACTGCAAAGGCGTATTCTGTTCTAGGCTTTGTAAGACGCAATGCCTCAAAATTCTCGGATCCTTATACATTCAAGTTACTGTATTCGTCATTTGTTGGGTCACATCTCGAATATGCGGTTTTTATTTGGAGGCCGTATAATCAGAATGCTATAAACAGGGTTGAACGTGTTCAAAAAATTTTTCTCAAGTTTGCCCTTCGCTGTTTGAATTTTTCAGACCCCGTGCCGTCATATTCTTCACGTCTTATGCTTTTTAATCTCAAGTCCTTAGAAAGTCGCAGGTCTGTCTTATGTCTTTCGTATACATATAATATTATTAATGGCATTGTTGATTGTCCGTTTTTGTTAGAGAGGATAAGATTTAATGTCCCCAGGCGATCTCTTAGAAATTTCCTTCCGTTTTATGGTTGTAATGTTAGAACGCAATACGCCAGTGATGCCCCGATTTATCGCGCCATTCGTGAATTTAATGCCACGAATAATGTAGACGAGGTAGACTTTTCAATCCCAAAGACAGCTTTTTTAAATCTTTTGAATTCCTATTTTTAGCTTTATGAATTATTTCTGATAGTTCTAAATTAATGTTGTACTCTTCTAGTCTGTAATGTTATTATAAAACCATAGACTAAATAAATAAATAAATATATATATAAAAAGGTCACGCGCATAACGGCATTTTTCTTTTATTATCTATCTAACTCAAATAAAATCGAAATTGTTCGGTGTTCTTAGTTCACTTAAGAATTCCAAGTTTCGAAGTAAGAGAAATAGTGTTGCTAAATTTTTCATAAAGGTTTAAAGTCAGAACGTTGCTACACTACTGTACACTATTGGGACGCTCAAGTAAAAGAAAAAAACGCCAAAACAAGTAAACTTAAATTTGTGTCATAGAATACGGCCCTCTTAATGTTTTTTCTAGATCAGGTGATATTCGAAAGATATTTTTTTATGTATTGTGAATGAAAAATTTTCCAGATTTATCACTTGGTAGAATCCAAAACATAGGCTCGACTGCCAATAGGTTGTTTATTCCAAACAATTTTATTTTATTTTTTTCATGAGGATATAGTTTGCGAGATTTCCATATCTTTTGGCATATAAATTTTAAACTCGTTGACTAATCGGTTACTAAAAAAAATTAATAAAAAAATTGGACTGTTCTGGTTAACGCAAATCAGAAATTCCACCAAAAAGCGTTTGATTTTCTGAAAATTTAAAAAGTTACCCTTTTGGGGATTAATTTCAATTCATAGCAAAACACATAATTTTCGTACTTTTAGAAATACTACCATTGGATTTAGCCTTCATTTGACATGCGCTGAAAATAACGACGATTTAAATATTCCACTGGACATTTTTACAGACTTTTTGTTTTTGGTTTCCATGTTCGTAATTTTCAATACGCTTGTGCGCTGGATTTAATTTTTTTTAATCTGACTTGGCAATACAGGCTTAACAAAATAAAAAATAATATATGGGACGTTCCCTGTCAACCGGAACAGAGCTATATCCAAAAATCAAATGGACATTATTTAACTCACACAAAATCGACCCAGCCTGATTTAAATACTTATCTAAATTGTATGATTTTTAAATTTCTCACTCACCTGGATCCGTTGAAACATTTATGCCCCGATCGCTGTCGTAGTTGATCATGCGGTTGTCATGATACCAAAATATAAACTCTGACGCCTCCGTATTTTG